TTTCGTGCTAATACCCTTGGGAAAGGTATGAATCCTCTTCTTCTAAAGCTATTGGTAAATAGTAGAAAAGACCGGGTTCTATAGCCTTGGATGACAATTGATCTACCGTAGAAAAAAATCTGCCTCGTCAGTCATGTATCGAAAGATACATGATCGCATAAGCGTGTATCAAGCAGGAAAGACTGGGTTCTATAGTCTTGGATGATAACTGGTTTACCAAAAAGAAATGGCAACCAACTGCGGGAAAAAATCTCGTCAGTAACGTTTCAAATGATCGCCTAAACGTGTATCATGCATGATACATAAATGACTGACTGAAATTCATCCCACAATCTACATTTGTGCATTTTATCACCAGAAAATCAGATTTGAATCTCTTTATCCTAGCGATTTTTCTACTATTTATTTGTTGTAAAACAACCCCATTGATAAAGATATCAACGGTTACTCGGACCATTGGGAACGAGCACATTTTTAAGGACTCTACCTACAACAAACTTTTCTCTGTTATTTGTGTCTCGATGTCCTTGCAAGGGTAACAAGACTCTTAGAACCCTGCTCTTCTTGGTTGGGAAGGAACCATAAATAGTTCAAGGGAACAAAGAAACGAAGGCCGGCCATTATTTCTGGTAGATTCTGGCATTGTGATAAATAAAGCATCAAACAAGATTCTCTTTCGTGATGTTTATCATTATCTTTCATTCACTTTTTTCTCTTTGAGCAGAAATCCTCTGTTTGTCAACCTCTCTTCCATTAAACGTTGCATGATATGTTTTCTGCTCTACAAAGAAGTGGAAACTAGCTTATATATTATTACTATTTCCTGCGGAGGGCTCTTAATTGGAGCTCCGACTTGTTCCGGAATTTGATAGTTTCTAAGTCTTTGCCTATTCTAACTATTGGAAACTCTCCTGTCTGTCGTTTGATCAGAGTTTTTACTTGCACAGGACCTTTTTTTCCCTCGCTGCAGCCTTGGCTCTTTTGATTGCAATCTGGTCCTCTGTTGACGGAGATTTCTTTTTGCGAGGCATATTGTTGCCGTATGCGATTGGCAATAATAGACTACAGAAGAACTCAATTTAAAGACAATTTGATGCGCGTAGGTTCTTACTTTCCTTACAAACAAGTATTTTTATTTTATGGGTGATTTTCGCTGGATTTCCTAATTAATTTCGATTATTCCAAATTAATTTCAGAGTTTTATATCCAAATTTATTTCAGAGTTTTAAAATTGTTATCGCCATATTTACAAAAATTCTGTCTATATTTCTGAGATGAGGTATTATGTACACTATTTACATTATTCGGACTATTGTCCTCATCTTTGTGTCCGTTTCTTTCAGTATCTGTCTTTTTCTGAGAAAAGGTATTATTTATTTACATTATTCGGACTTTGTCCTCATCTTTTCATATTTAGTATCTGTATCTGTCTATATTTCTGAGATGAGGTATTATGTACACTATTTACATTATTCGGACTATTGTCCTCATCTTTGTCACCATATTTATCACAACGTTTCGGCCCTTCAGTATCTGTCCATATTTCTGAGATGAGGTATTATGTACACTATTTACATTATTCGGACTATTGTCCTCATCTTTGTCACCATATTTATCACAACGTTTCGGCCCTTCAGTATCTGTCCATATTTCTGAGATGAGGTATTATTATTTACATTATTCGACCCTTGTCCTCATCTTTTGTATTTATCACAACGTTTCGGCCTTTCAGTATTGTCGCCATATTTTATTGTCCTCATCTTTGTCGCAACGTTTCGGCATGTTTCAGTATCTGTCTATATTTCTGAGATGAGGTATTATTTACATTATTTACATTATTCAGACTTTTCTCCTCATCTTTGTTGCCATATTTATCAGAACGTTTCGGCCGCTCAAGAACACCAGAAAGCTGTAACACGAGGGGAGGTGGAAAAATCAGGCGTGGCTGACCACATATGAAGAGAAAAGGGAGATCACCGCCCTCTGTGGGATCAGGTTGAAATCATAGACAAGGAACACCATTAGAAATTCGTAAACTTAAGGAATCAGCACATATGTTAGGCCACAAAAATCTCCTGAGCCGACCAAGCATAGAAATGAATACAATATGGGAACCAGTAATAAGGAGTGTCGGAGAAAGTCGATAATAACAACGAAAATTGCAATATGAGATCTGGTAAAAAAAATGCAATGATAACAGCAAAAATTGCAATATGAGCACTGGTAAAAATGGTTGCTGAAGACATTAGGTTTATAATACCCAGAAATTCATAGATAGATGTCCTCATTGCGCAGTGGATAAAGGCGTTAGTTAGATCCAGTGACAGGACCCAAAGAGTGTGAGTTCAATACCTGGTTAAGGCGGTGGAGAGCTTGGAGAGGGGAATTAGCAGGAGACAACTGACAACTGACATCCATTAGACATGGCACGTGGAACTAGAACAGTCTACCCCAGTGAGCGAAATAAAGGGTTCAGTTCGACATTCCAACGGAGCGTACAACGGCTGAAACGTTGTAATAAATATGGCAACAAAGATGAGGACAATAGTCCGAATAATGTAGTGTACAAAAAAAAAAAAAAATTAATCGCAAAAAATATGTTTGTAAACTTAAAACTGTGTGACAAACTGACACACCGACATTCGCATTTATTTATATAGATTACTAGCACAAACGTCATTGGTACACATGACTGAGTTGACATCGCTATTATTGTAAACAGTGTCAACCGGCCAAGAGACTAAGATGTCTTACTAAAGAAAACATGCTTCACGACAGGAGACGAACCTGTATTTTTTTTTCATCAGAGAAACCACTTTTTGTAGCCAAAGAGTACCCTACGATTTATGCCACGATAAACCATTATGAAAAAGTAAGGTTCAGTTACCTATTTAAAAATGCATGCCCCTTGATAGGATTTTGGCTCGAGAAATTAGGACGGGTTCACCAATTCTGGTGATGATAAATTGTTGAAAATAAACGAAAACTAAACGCTTCTATTAATGCTATCAAAACGCGCATTGAAATTATATATATATATATATATAAAGACAACAAACAGAGGGTAGGGAGGGCGACACTAATAAAATAAATCACCGTAAAGAGAAGAATCGAAATAATAAGAACAAAATCCTGGCTCTTCGAAATCCAATCGAGGACAAATAATTTAATAAATTTATTTTTGAAGGCTAGACTTGTATTTATATTTGAAGAGATACAATTCAGAGTTGAACAATTTCCAAAACAAAGAATCGTTAATTTGCGAAAATTGTTTGAAATTTACGATTATTATTTTTTTTTTTACCGAAGACTGGATAAGTAAGATCAGTTATCGAAATTTATAGAAAACTAAAAAGACCCTTGAAAATTTTACGGTTTTCCTATACAAATTTTCTCAGGAATCTTAATTCTTAACTCTTAATGATTGAGTAAGGTCGTGGCAATAAAATATACGTAGAAATTTCCAGTTAAATATTTGAGCTTAACAACTTTAACGAAATAATGTAAGAACAATCATAAATATGAATGCTGGTCGTTATTTTAAGAAGTAAGGGGGTACAAATGAAAAGATTTGAAAATGACAACTTTTTTTATTTCACTGAAATAGACGTTAAACATTTCTATCTTTCTTTTTTTTCTTTTCTTTCTTTCTTTCTTTCTTTCTTTTCATTATTTCTTTCTTTTTATTTCCCTTTTCCATTCTTTCTTTCTTTCTTTCTTTCTCCCTTTTCATTCTTTGTTTCTTTATATTTCTATTCTTTCTTTCTTTCTTTCTTTCTTTCTTTCTTTCTTTGTCCCTTTTCATTCTTTCTTTCAAATTATTTCCCTTTTCCATTCTTTCTTTCATTGTTTCTTTGTTTCTTTGTTTCTTTGTTTCTTTCTTTCTTTCCAAATCCCCGTCTTACGAACATTTATCTTAACAATTTCAACATAATCCAGCAGAAGATCTTATTTTATTTAATTTACTGTAATTGAATTTTGACTCGAGATCGTGCGCCTGAAAAACGCCGCATTTCGTCATAACTTCTTAGCCTTTTGGCTGAGATCAAAGCGTAGAATCTGTTCTCATTAGCTGATATCTGAATATCCCTCTCTCTCACCCCAATCCCATTTTCTCTTTCTTATCTTATCTTCCTTCATTCTTTCATATTCTAAATGTTTAAAACGACTCCTCTAAGTTACATTTGGTTAAAAAATATATTTTGTTAATTTTTATATAATAATTTAAGAAGTAAAGTTTTGCAGTGATTTGAACCTTGAGTTTTTCTAAAGAAGATTCTCTGCAAATGTAAAAAAACATGTTTCGTCCATTCTTTTAAGGCTGTCATTGGTCAAGCAATATAAACGTGACCATTCAAATTTTGAGGTTTTTTTGTGTCTATTTTGCACAAGATTTCTACAGGGAATATACATCAGTTTTGTTAAAATGCCCTAAATTACAAACTCGGCGGCTTACGGCCATTTCACGTTGAAAAACCAGTTCCCGTACGATCACCGAAGTTAAGCAAAGGCATGATTAATGCTTAGGATAATACATTTTTCATTACAAATGGTGCCCAAAAATGAAAATTTATTAATGACCCAACATTATCTATCTATCTATCTATCTATCTATCTATCTATCTATCTCATTCTGTTCCTTTTCTGTTATATGTCTCTCTATTTATATATACACCTTTCTTTTTCATTTTGCTAATATCTACCGTTTTTCATTCTTTTTCTATCTATCTATCTATCTATCTATCTATCTATCTATCTATCTATCTATCTATCTATCTATCTATCTAAGTCTATTCATTATCTATCTATCTATCTATCTATCTATCTATCTATCTATCTATCTATCTATCTCGGTCTTTTCCTATCTATCTATCTATCTATCTATCTATCTATCTATCTATCTATCTATAATTGTGTACGCCATTTAATTGTCACTTATGATTAGTAGTTAAGATGATACATTCATCAGTACAACTGGTTCCCCAAAATGGAAATTACTTATGGCCCAACCTAATCTATCTATCTATCTATCTATCTATCTATCTATCTATCTATCTAACGAGCTCTTTCCATTATCTATCTATCTATCTATCTATCTATCTATCTATCTATTATATACTGTACCTATGAGCATCAATTGGTATGTCCCAATCCTCATAAATATATTGGGCACTATTGTAAGTGGGTGTAATATGCTGTCTAAGTAGTTCACCACTAGAAGTGGTTTACCTACTTCATGGCGCTGGCGAGTATTGTATTTTCTTGATTTTAATAAAGATCACCATTTTATTTCCAGTGTCCGTTTTTCTTATTCCTCATTCAGTAATCCTTTCTAGGTTACGACAGAATTCGAACTTGGTTCACCAATTTCTCAATCCGAGCCGTAATCTATTACTCCACCGTGCTTTTCAGGCTTTCGTTTCTCCTGTACGGTCTTTTTTTTTCTCACCCTCGCCGGCATTTACTGCACAATAATCTCTCCACCTCAAAGACGCTACAAAATTCAAAAGCTGTTAACTCTTTTTCTTCCTCTTCGTCATTTCCTGTTCCAATTAGACGGCCGATCGATCCCGAAGCCACATTAAACGGGGGAATAACGAAGAGACTTTCTTTGAAGCGTCGACCAGAATAATATTGAGAGTCGCTTTCAAAGTCTCTGGTGGCAAAAATCTTGAAGAAAACGACAACCAATGGCCGATAGAAGGAGGAAGATGGCGACTGAATTGGGTCAACGTGAATTTAAACGAGCTACCAGGTCGGTAGCTCGGTCCTCCCCTTTCACTGTCAAAACGGTTAAATAAAACCGTCTCTTCTACTCAAACAGTTTCTTCTCCCGCACTTCCCGTCTGTGGAACTCCCTTCCCCTTACTTGCTTCCCCGATAACTATAATCTTCAAATATTCAAGTGTAATGTCAATCGATATTATACTGATATTTTGATCTTGTTCCCCGTCCGTCTCCGTTCCTCAAAAACGACTTTTCACTCTTGTTCTCAATCCTCTGTAACCCTTTGTCTATTAGTGGTACTCCCGTCTTGCTTGGGGTGAATTGCTTAAAAAAAAATAAATTCAATATAATTTTTGACATTGTTTTCCTTTTATAATATTATCAATATCTGCTTTTATGGTGCCAAGCTTTATTCTAAGAATAATTGTTAAATAGGAATCACTCAACCTGTTTCTTTTTAGTAGTTTTGATGTTTTTCATGCATGAAAAAAATTCTTCACAGAGGTATGTAGTACCCCACATGCATAACAATTTCTTAGATAAGCTAAATAATCTTTATTTCGCTCTGGGTCTTACCCCACGAATCAGCCGGTGTGTCTCGGTAAGGGCCTTTGCCTCTTTCCGATTTTAGTCCAATGGGTGAGTGAACTTCCTAGCACAGATAAAGAAGAGACATGAAGCAACTGAAATGTGGTTCTACAGAAGGATATTGAGAAAAGTATAAACTGTACATGAAGTTTTAAAGAAAATGGAAAACAAAAAGTATGCTTATACTTAAAATACTGGAATGTCTAGTGTACATAATGAAGAAAGAAGGCTTGGAAAATTTGACACTCATATGGTATATCGAAGTCATAGAGAGGCAGAGAAAAATAGCAGAACAGGGTTTAGGGGAGATAGCAAAAAGGAAAGAAAATACTAAGAGCTACAAAGGACGGAAATTGTGGAGAGCCATGATCGCCGTCATCCTGAAGGGACACAGTGTATAGAAAAAAAAAGAATTTCTCTTTTATCAATCTCTATCTCTATCTCCCCACTTTTGCTGATAACCATGCATTCTGTTTTCTTGTAGTTTATACTTAGTGCTTTCTTCCCGCTTTCCTTCGCTAACTTCTGTTGGAGCTTTTGTTGTTTCCTTTCCGTGTCTGTTGTCAACACTATGTTATCTGCATATATGTTATACGAGGGGGGACCCGAAAGTAACTGGAATCGTTCTCTGTGTGACAAGCCCGTAGTAGTTCAGGCTTTCACCGCTAGATGCCACTTGAGGCAACCCTCAGGCATCAGTGTGCTAACTGGTGTCATCGTGGGAAGACATACAGCTCCGTGGTTCACATTTGTTTTGAAGTGCTTCACGCCTTTTCGTCTATTTTTACCATGTCTGAAAGGATGATTGTCGTAAACCGAAAGAACAGTTTGAACTTAATCCAGACCTTTTTTCGAAGGTCATCACTGGTGACGAAAGCTGGTGCTATGGCTACGACCCGGAAACGAAGCAGCAATCAAGTCAGTGGAAGCATCCAACGTCATCACGACCCAAAAAAGTGTGTCAAGTGAAGTCCAATGCCAAGACAATGCTGATTTGTTTCTTTGATATGAAAGGAATTCTCCGCAAAGAATTTGTTCCTCCGGGTCAAACTGTTAACCAGGCTTTTTACTTTGAAGTCCCGAAGCGTTTGCAAGACAAGATGAGAGGAAAACGCCCTGACCTGTGGCAAAGTGGAGGGTGGTGGTTGCATCACGACAAGGCGCCAGTGCACACTGCCTTGAATGTGAGACAGTTTGTGACCAAGAATGGCATGACCCCACTTCTCCACGCTCTCTCTTCACCCGATCTCGCCCCCTATGACATTTTTTGTTCCCCCAAATGAAGAAAGTCCTCAAAGGAAAACATTTTGCAGATGCGGAAGAGGTTAAAAAGAAAACGACGGAGTCAGTAAAAAACTTAACTTCAGGATTGATTTGAACAATGGAGAACACGTCTGGACTGGTGCATTGCTTCAAATGGAGAATACTTTAAAGGTGATAAGAATATAAACATGCAACAATAAATGAATAAAATTATATTCCGGTTACATTAGGATCACTCCTCGTATTTTTAAAATTGTGGGCGCCAACAATGAATTCTGGTAGGACTTCTAATTCTCTCAGAATTGCCTCTCTGTATAGGTTGAATAAATCCGGTGAGAAGACACATCGTTGTCTTACACCCCTTTCTATGGGTCTAATATCTGCCTATTTGTCAACCTACTCAGAAAATCAGTAACTAAAAGCTCAGCTTTTGCTCCACTCAACCGAATATTCTCATAGAGAAAGCGTCTGATTACTAAAGTCCAAATTAATGTTTGTAAACAGCAACGCTTCGCTTTCTCTATAAATAAGTGGTATAGCACGTCAGATCAAATGACGGTTCCGTATAGGACAAAGCTTCGATTCCTGTCAGAGGACGCGTATTTTCTACGAAATTTCTCGAACATTCAGGCCGGTAAATGTAATTAATACTATTTAATTAAAGAAACAGAACATTTACTTAAATAAGTTGTATATATTAAAATAACGCATTAACAGAAATATTAAATAATTATCGGACTAAATCCATTTCATAATATTTAACTGGTTTAAAATATGTTTTTTTTCGCTACACAGTAATAACCATGTTTCAAAAATGGAAGCTAAAAACTTCAAATTTAATTTTGTAATTAAATTAAAAACATTAGTTCCATTTCATCTTTAGATTTTTCCTTCAGTAGGTTGCCATCTCTCTCTGTGGTAGAAAGTTGCCATCAAAGGCTATAGAACCCGGTCTGTCTATAGTTAAATGTTGTGGTAGGATCCACCTAATTTGCATAGTGGAGTACCGACCATATAAATATGGTTGGTACCGGGAAGAGAGGGAGGAATCAAGAGATTCAACCAGAGACTCTGTCCGACTGCGACTCAGTCAACACATTCTCTAGGAACGGTCTTACCAGGAATATACAAAAGACTATATGTAAATATTGTGTACACTTTCTTGTTTCAATACATTTTGTTCTAAGTACATTTTGTGTTGCATTATTATTCCATGCATTAGTCAAGTTTCAACATTAAATAACCTATAGCTAGTGGTAGGAGAAGAAGAGGACTTATACATTTCCCAAGGGTATTAGCACGTAAGTGAATGCAATGGATTCGAGTGGAATTCGAACTCGGCTCTCCGATTCCTCAATCCGAGCCACTATCGATTACTTCACAGTGCCTCAGACAAATGTTCATATTATTGCTGTTATTTACAAGTTTGTAGCGCGAAGAAACATTTTCCAATGTAGTTTGTAATTATGTCGACGACATTTTTATTTTTAAAACCAAAAACTTGCTTGAAGGCGTCCAGTCTCTATTTCGCGTTACACGAAATGATAGAAGCAGACGATAAATACTAAACTGTTGGCCACTCATTAAGAGACTTGTTTTCTAAAGGAAAATTCTTGAATAAAGATAAAAAGAGGCTGATAATGAATGATTGATTCGAAGACGAGCATTCTAATTACGTTTTGCCTGGCTTTTGAGAGAATCGAGACTTGCATATGATTTTGAAAAGGCTGTAATAATTGGCGATTATAAATGTCAATAAAAAGATGGCGGCAGTTATTATATTGAATTATCTATAAGCATTAACTGAATAGCTGATTGATTCGTTCCCAGCCAATTGTAGTGTATTTGGCGGTATTCAATGTGCCAAATTTCTACGAGTTTTATCAAAACAGATATACGCACTAACGTGAATAAGAAGAACATGGCTTATAAATAACAATAGACTGCCCGTGTTTTATCGAAAAGTAACTGATAAATATCTTGCTTTTATGTCCTTCGATACTACAAATCGACCCATTACGATTCGATAAACCTTGCCATACACACACACATGCACACACAGACACACACACACACGCATATATATATATATATATATATATATATATATATATATATTAAACAGAAGAGTGAAGCCGCAAACGTTTTTGGTTTTAGTGAGGTCTTGAACAAGTCCAAGAAAATTTAGATTACTACTACACACAAAATACAATGGTTTAACATCGGAAAACATAAGGAAAATTAATTCCTTTAAATAATATGTGGAAATAACCATCCTTCGCCTGATGAAGGTCACAACATCCGAAACCCGTGTAGCAAAATATAGAAAATAAAATATAATATATATTTCAAAAAACACATTATAACCAAAAACGTTTGCGGGTTCTCTCTTCTCTTTAAAATGTACACTTTTCTCTCGCTG